ATTTTTACCAAAGGATCACTTGTATTGAAATAGTTCGGTTTCAAATCTTTCCTGCAATAAGAACAATGCAAAAGCAAAAGGGACACACAATCCTATAACTAATAGTGGTTTACATGCTGGCCTGATGCATCTATGTCTGCAAAGTTCTCCGTACACTCTGTATGGAATGGATGCGTTACAGCTCTCCCGGTTGCCAACCTATTCCCTGAGCTACTGTTTCTACAAAGGTTAAACCAGTCCTGAGCTATTTTCACACAAGTCTGCAATTGCCAACAAAACTTACTGAAAATAGCACTGACATGCACAGTCAGTTGGAAATAAACAGCAAAGGACTGTGGCAAAAATTTATGTAAGGACTGAAACTGTGCCGGACAGATGAACGCACAAGTGAAACAGAAACTGTGCAAGGTTATGGGGAAAGGAAGGGGAATGGTGCTGACGTTAAATTCTCAATCAATGAGTCGGTGCAAACACAGTGGGCCGAATGGCCTCTTCTGCACTGTAACATTCCATGATTCTGTGCAATATCATTGACACTGTGCACAACTAAAACTTGTCACTGTGCAATAAACCTTATTGATCAAAAAAGAATCGAAAAACATTAATGGAATCGAACATATACCCTCTCAAAAACCACAGGAAATAACTGCCAGTCTCCAGAAGATGATGCGAAGCAATTAAAGCAAAGAAAATGTCCTTTAAGGAAAGGAATCTGCTCTCCTTACCTGGTCTGTCCTACATATAACTCCAGATCCTCAGTAATGTGGCTAATTGCAGATGCTGGGAATCTTAAATAAAACCAGAAAATGCTGGTGAAACTCAGCAGGTAGGCAGCATCGGTGCAGAGGGAAACAAGAGTTAATGTTTCGGCTCTGATAAAAGGAGTCATATAGGATTCCAAACGTTATCTCTGTTTCTCTCTCCACAGATGCCGCCTGACCTACAACTTTCTCTAGCATTTTCTATTCGTACACAATCTTGGGACTTGGGAATATAATGGTGTTCCTTCATCATTAGTGGTTTGACACCCTATACTTCACTGTCCAAACCCCATTGTGTTTATAACATCACAAAGAGACTGATACACCAACGAACACCTTCATAAGCAAGCGAGGGGATGGCATAAACACTTCCCTCAGGTGTCATGAGGAACAAATATTGACATGCAAGAAATTTAAATCTCCTGGATTACTGGGCCAGAAGGAAAAGACCCTTTGAAATATACTAATTGCCCTAATAAAACACACATAAGATTTACAGATAACACAGTGTGGAGCCGGAGGAACAGGCCAGGCAGCGTCAGACGAGAGGGAAAGTTGACGTTTCAGGTCGGGACCCTTGGGTCCAGTTCCACACTGTGTTATCTCGGACTCCAGCATCGGCAGTTCTTACTATCTCTGAATAAGATTTTACAATCATATACCGTTTATAGCCAGTAATACTTTCAAGACAAAATCGCTGCAATGTATGAAATAAGGTATGGTTTCACAAGCCAAATCAGATTTGGTTCCAGACAGTGAATTCATGGCTGGATGTTCAGAAACAATCCAGCAATCTAGAGGCAATGAAAAGGAGAAGAGATGTGGTAGAATTGGGCAATATCGCAGAACGCATTGGTGAATACCTGCATACTGGAAACTATCGGTGATTCAATGTGGGGGCGACAGTCCAGAGCTTGTGTTGTGGGCTTTGGGGAAAGAAGCCATTATTTTGATCAGTCAGGCAATAACAGAAGCATGGTTGTTATTAGAGATTTAGTTTAGTAATACAGCAAGGGTCAACCGTCACCAGCTGAAAGCAGTGAAAGGGTCTAATACAGATATACAAGTCGACCTCCGTCTTATCGACCCCAAAAACTTCCTATCACAACTAACACACATTTGTCTTCCTTAAAGCAGCTTGATAGTAGGCAACAATGAACCTTTTAACTTAATTTCCAGTTAATTTTTGTCGCAATTTTCTACAGGAAGCCCCCATTCAGCCCACCTCATCTGTGCTACCTCTATGAAAGAGCTATCCAATTAGCCCCACTTATTAATCTGATAAACGTTCACCTTGCAAAGGAAGGAGGAGGAGCCAGTCTGTCTTTCATGTCGATTTATTCACGATGCCCAAGGCAGATTACTTTGCCCTTTCAAGGCCAACCCCAACTAGATGAAAACTGATTCTTAGAAAAAATAAATTCAATCGATCCGTTTGTTCGTTATATGATGCACCTCTGTGAGTGGAGGGACACTGATCTTCTAAGCCAGAGGTAGGGGCAGGAGCCCTGTACCATAAGACCCTCAAACTGGTTCCTACATATGTGTAGTAACCCTTCCCCAATTAAAATCTGTATATCTTAATCACAACTGGAGCGTTTACCGATTCACACAGAACTGACACATAATTTGCAACTTGAGCAACTCTTTTCCCCACAGTGCTTCATCTATCCCCTTTCCAAACACATCTTCAGTTTCCTTTCTGAGGAAGGGTCACCGGACCCAAAACGTTAAACCTGTTTTTTTTCCTTCACGGATGCTGCCAGACCTGCTGAGCCTCTCAAGCAATGTTGGTTTTGTTCAATTTCCTTTTGAAAGTCACTACTGAACCTGCTTCCCATCACCTTTTAAGTCAGTGCATTCCAGATCATTGTAATTCATTGGACAATCCTACTTTCCCCGGGGCCTCTAATTGCCAATCTGTCTCTTCAGTTTGTTGGAAATCTTGCAAACTACTTTCTCTCCCTCCTTCTCAATCCATATCAATAAACTTCTCCTCAGGGTCACCTGCAGGGTCCAGAACACTGCTGAATTCAGATAGATTCATGACACCAAGCTATCCCAACCTAGATGACTCCGTGCACTATTACAGCGCAGCTCCTCAGTGTAACGTTGTAATGGCCTACCTAAAACAGCTTACAATGGGCAACATTTACATGAATGGAAGTATTCTCAGTCACATACAAAAATAGAGAAAATAAATCACGAACATTCAAATTTCAGATTCTCTGCTCCTCCAGCCAGTTTCCAAACCAGTTAGAAGTGTACAGTAATCGAAATGAGACAGCCCGAACACCAGAACTGCCCAGAAATTGTGTGCATTTTCTTCCTTATTGTCGTTTAACATTCATAATAATTATATAATTAGTTCAGAAGGGCATAGAGGCCATGCCCCTTCCTCAGAGCTAGGAGGTCTGGGTTCAGGCCCAGAGGTATACACTAGCATCTCTTTGAACAGTTGGATTAGGAAAATATCTATAATTATTTCAGAGAGGTAACGGGTTATCACACAAGCATTGCAGTCCAGCTTCTTCTTTCCCGTGAGAGCCTGTGGTGTTATAAAATGGAAACTCAGTTTGATCCATCACAGCACTTAAAGATCTGTCTGGCCTGAGTCCTCACTGGTTTTTAAACCGGAGCTGCCTGTTTAGCTTATCTAAGGGAGGATGTAAATGCTTTGGCGGTATTTCAGAAGTTCCTGAAACTAGTAAGCAGGAGAGGCAGGTTGGTTTATAGGGAAAGGGTGCACAGGCTGGGCTTGTATCTTCTGCAGTTTAGTGACAGCTGACTCGATTGTAACATGCAGGATCCTGGGGAATCCTTGACAGGTGACCATGGAGGATGTTTCTGGGAATGAAGAGTCTGAGTTATAAGGAGAAGCTGGATAGGCTGGGACTTTTTCACTGGAGCGTAGGAGGTTGAAGGGTGACCTTATAAAGGTTTATAAAATATGAGGGACATACATAAGGTGAATGTCTTTTGCCTAGTGTGGGGGATATCAAGACCAGGGGGCATATTCTTAAGGGAAAAAGAGAAAGGTTTAAGAAAAGACGTGAGGGGCAATTTTTTTTTTTTTTTTTTTACACAGAGTGTGGTTCATGTGTGGAATGAACTGCCAGAGGAAGTGGTGGATGTGGGTACGGTTACGACATTTAAAAGACATTTGGATAAGTACATGAATAAGAAATGTTTGGAGGGATATGGGCCAGGAGCAGGCAGGTGGGACTAGCTTAGTTTGGGGTTATGGTCAGCATGGACTGGTTGGACCGAAGGGCCTGTTTCCGTGCTGTATGACTCTATGACTTATGGGAGAAGCTAGAACTCAGAGTTATTGTCTTGCCCATTTCAAACAGATAAGGTGAGAATCTTTCTCAGAGAAGGTCCTGAAAAGGAAATGGAATATTTTTAAGGCAGACATGGACAGATTCTTATTCAGTGAGGGTGTGAAAGGTTATCAGAGGCGGGCGCGAATGTGGATTTGAGATTACAACTGGTTAATCTACAATTTTATTCAACGGTGGAGGAGATTTGAGATTACAACTGGTTAATCTACAATTTTATTCAA